CATTGAAACCAAGGCCTGAGAAACAGGTCTGCAACTCCTACCTTGTTTGACCAAACATTGTTGGCCTGCAAGGTCCACGGTTTTTCAGCGAGGAAGGACCCCTCTGCATCCCCTGGCAAATAGTAGACCAAAAGATATTTTCGCTTCTTTATATATATATATATCATATCAATCTGTTCGATCTCTGTTCGATTCCAGTATGGAATCCGCTCCAAAAATTCAGCGACGACAGGGTGGGATCCCACTTCACGAAACCTTGCACGGGCGACGGTGGAGTGTAACATAAAGAGAAAAAAAAAACCTCACACATGCGAAGCGCATGTCATACCAGTTCGACCAATCAGTATTCAAACCTTTCACTATGAAAAACACCAGAAACATCCAGAAACAAGTAGTCAAAGAGACACTACACAGCTGGTTTCTCTATATTTCATTATATTTCTCTGTTTGGGTACGGTTCGTACTGACTATGTAGAATACGCAAGACACAATTTCGGGAGTTATCCTTGCAAATTCTTGCAACCAACGCTTCACTGGCTTTAGAGCAGCCAAAGTCAGAGTATCAGAAATTGGGACCACTAGATTTGGCTATTGTTGTACCAGGTCAGGAGTTTCCGACATTTCAATGCAACTGCCCCAAACGTCTGGTGGCCCACCAAACCAACCAACCAACAAACACAAACCAACCAACGTCCGACCACATGGCATACGTACATTCCCATGGTTTTCCTGGCGTGTTTTGGGAACCCCACGAACCATGCGTGGCACCCGTCGCAGCTGCACCGTCCTTGACATCCTGGTATCGGATCTCTTCGATGAGGTTTGCCTGGCATTGGGATATTGCAGCAAATAAGAATCCGCCCCGTACCTGTTATTGTCCAACAGTTAGTGCGTCATGGGAAGGACTTGCATAGTGCTGTCCAACTCGGGACGTTAACTAAGGAACACGGCGGGACAATTGGCTACCACAGGGCGAGGTTGTTCTGTTGTCCTGCTCTTTTGCTCGCACAGCACATCCCCCACTACCAAAGTGGAGCCGATGGCTTTGGTTATGTTTCTGTATTCTTATGCAGTAAGCCATCCAACACTCCATCCAACTATACTTCAAACAGTAACAAGCAAGCGTTTGTGCATGTTAGCCGTGCTCTTACAACACTGTTGGGTTAGCTCCGGATCGAATTGACAACTCCAATATTCGTGGCAGGTGTGCCAGGGTCAAGTGCCACAACGTTTCACATCGTTTCTGGCCTGATTTTTGGCATGCTCTGACGCATATCTTTAGTCAGAAGACCTGGACTCAAGACAAGCAACAGGAGTTGTGGAAAGACAAAGGACCGGTGGATGTTTCACAAAATGCTGACTTGCTTAGTCTAGCAAGTCGGCGCTGCCGCAACCTTGCTTCCTTTGCCCTGGATGACTGGATGCAGTGCCGCCTTTGCGGACGACCAGCACTGCCAGCACTTGGCCATCGGCTGAGCAGCTGACTGCACGTGCAGATGTCACAACCGAGTAAAGGCCCCGGCTTTGTACGGCATCTTCGCTGTCCGAGCTGCTCAGCAACACAGTCCTGTCCAGCTTCACCAACAGCCTTGCCGATCTTCTTGGCAAACACGTTGACATAGAAGAAAACCTCTGTCGAAGCCGCCGATTCCCTCTTCCAACTAGTCGTGGCAGCTAGCGCTCCGGGCGAATCCTCAGAGAGAGAGCGGGGAGTGCAATCTTGCATCTTGCGGAATTGCATGGACTTGCAGCATCAAAGAAGAATGGATATAACTTAACCGTTCCGTCTTGCACTGTTCCAGGGTCGCACACCAATGTTTCACCCTCCAAGTGACAATCTCTCCTAGATGAATGGTGCACTTGATCGGACACGTAGCTGGTCTCGACATCCTGTGCAGGTCTGCCTCCGGAACCTTTCTGCACCACGTAGCTTTTGCAGCATGCAAGTCACTAAGTCTTGCAAGCCTTCAGTGTTGGGAGCCTTGGAGGCTCTTCGGAACTCTTTGCCAGCATGTCGAAGTGCATCTGGTTGGGAATCTCGGTGGATACATGTGAATACCTTGAGCTCGGACAGCAGTGACAGCAGTGACAGCCGCACTGCGCTTCAGGCACGTTCGCATGTCTGCAAATGAGGTTACTACCTAAACACATGCGAGCATGTCGTAGCATGCCCGCATTGAGGCTATAGCAGCAAAGGTTGAACAAAGGCACATTCGCTTTGCACTGCGCTTCGGGCACACAAAAAGTTTGTGCATGTTGGCCGTGTTCATGAAACACTGTCAGGTCAGCTCCGGATAAAATTACAGTAACAAGTTTTTTGTGGCAAGTGTGGGACGGTCAATTATCACGCCGTTTAATGTCTATACTCCATACTAATGAAGATGAGACATGACCACCCACACCATTGCAGGTTGGACCGTGTAGGGTTCAACGGTTGCAATGACTTTGCCCCTCGTGTCTGACTATTCTTCTGTGTTTTGAATTTACAAAACAAACACTATTTGAATGGACACTTTACACATTCACAAACATGCTGAACAACAACTCACAGCTGTTGAGGGTCCATGCTCCAAAAGAACTTGTAGAGAGGTGTAAGAGTACGAGACCCACAAGTATTCTGGGAAATTGTCCTGCGGAATCCTGAACATCATGTACATTAAACGTGCCGGCAAAGACATTGTTGTTCATCCAGCCAATCTTTCTAGAAAGCTTGGAGGAGGCTGCATTCCTGAGGACTGGGCTTTGCATGCGCTGCGACCCTTTTTCCCCACTGGTTCCTCCCACCAGTAGCCATTCTCAAGGTTGGGTTGGTTGGTGTCTCTGAAAAAACGAACAAGCTTTGCATCCCCTGCGAAAACAAGACCCGGGAAGTAAAATATGTAGGGAACATTTTACGGGGAATCACCTCGCCATCTTTTGCCAGTCTTTTGAATCTTTCGGGGCTTTAGGCTCTAGTCCATCTGTTCGTCTTGGTCTTTTCACATCTCGCAAGACAAACAGCTGGGCCCAGCTCCTCTTGGCAAAGCCACCACCTTGCCTGCAGATGTGGCTTCAAGTGGCCATGAGAGACCAAGCAAGAATGAACATCACATGCACGTGAAAACACGAGTGAATCGGTCAATTGACCTCAAGGTGATTTTGAGGTGCGTAGCGATCCCCCAGTTCAGCACAGTGAGTACAATACCTTGGGAACATACATAAACATGGGTATGGCGATTTCAGAAACACATAGCTGAAAGCCACCCAAACCTTTCCAACAACCTATATATAAACAATCTATAGTCCCAAACCTGTCCAAAACACCAAAATAAATAGTATTACAGTATTATCATGTAATATTAGCAATATTACTATACAATATTTAGTCTATTTGAGTAAATTTTATAGATTTTTATAGTATATGCAGTAAACGGTCGGATTGCTGGCCTCACCCTCCGGTCCATGGCGGACGTGGATAGGCCACGCTTTCGCCGCTCGTTTGCAGAGCGGCGAGCCGACGTCGGGCCATACGGCTCCCAAAAACCAGATAGCTTGGTCAACGACCGGGACTCCTGAAAAATCATGTCCAACATCTTTTAGTACGTAGGAAGATGCAGGAAGAAGACGACCTCGTGTGTGTGCAGGATACAGTTGGCGCGGCTCAACGCCGCTTCAATCTTGTTAGAGCGACCCCGGCAATCCCAAGAACAACCGGTCCTGGTCGAATCACGTTCTTGCAAAAGACTGGGACTGGACTTACTGGAGAAGCAGCCCCAAGCATTTGTTCAAGCATCGTTCAACACCAATATGGACTCGGACAGAAAGACTACAAACTATAGAGGATGATTCAGAAGCTCACAAGACAAGTCATGGTCACAAGCCATCTCCTGAGATCCCATCTAGGGGAATTAAACAAACATTCTGGTTTGCTTGAAAGTTGCCAGTGCCTTAGAAAAATCAAAACACAAACACACACACACACACAGACACTCTCCACACAAACGGTGTCTATGGCTTGACTATGACACGTTCCACGATCTTGTTGGAGTGGCTTCTAGTCTTGTACCTCGAAGACCCTGTGGCCCTGTGTCTAGCCTAGCACCTCATAGAGCCCATCCCCAGGCTAGTGATTCTGTGCATCTTCGGCTTGACCCTGGGGTGCTGGGGCTCAGGCTTTGATCTTGGTGAGACCCATCTGGTCACCCACGGGATCATGAATCATGGCTTTGGGTCTCCAAACCGAAATCACGTGATTTCGCAAACAACGAATAGCCTCATGTTCCACCATCATCAGCTTATGTATGCTTATGTCGCATGCAAAATGCACAGTTGATCTGCCACGGCTTTCTACCACGACATACGCTTGCGCTTGTCAGGCCAGGCTTGTCTCCGCACGTGCCCTTTGACGTGGGGAAGCTGAGTCCTTCCAGCCCTCATGATGTCTGTTCATGTCTTTCGGAGGGCTGTGCGTTAGGAACAGTGGATCCCCCCAGCACACGCGTCTTGACAAAAAGGGCTTCAGGATGGGAAGTTTGCTGAGGTGAAATACATTATCATGAAGCTATCTAATGAGATGAACAAGTTTGAAGATTTCACATGTTTCGACACTGTGCTGCACATCGGCTGAAAGGATAGTCAAAGAAACCCTTTGAAACTGCCCCGTAGATGTGGGAAGAGGCATTTGCCACATCCAGAAATTGGAAGGCCCTATCTGTAGCTTTATGCTCCCCGAAATCATAGAAGTCCTCAAAAACAAGAACTATATACATTTCCAGAAAGTGGCTTGATGGACCCATCGTCCTTTCAAAATACCATCGTTTGCCAGCTTTAGATTTGACCCCTTCTGAAGGGTAGAAACATCTTAGACAACTTGTCGCAACTAAAAGAGCGTGGAACTCTTCGTAGTTTCGGCGCTTTCGGCACCCAGAAAATGCGAAAGAAAGCTTTCGGCTTTCGACCGAACCGTGGGGGTTGGAAGTGACACGTCTGAACGAACCGAAAAGGATGAAAGCTCAGGATCCTCAGTACCTGGCGCATAAGTGTCGGAAAGAGCGGCACCTCTCAGGCTTCACCAGCTCACCAGAGCAGGTGTAGCCGAGTGGAAAATAGTAGCTTCTAGCTACTACCTAGTAGCGATGTAGCGATGCACTTGCTGCTAGTAGCGATGCACTTGTTACTAGTAGCGTATCATAAAGGATCCAACGCCCTTTCCAGGCCATCCTCTTCCATGAATGGAGTTTGCAAGTTCTGCCACGTTTTCTGCCACGTCTGGCAGCTCATCGTGGCAGTTGCTTAGACGTTCCGCATGGCTCAGAATATGCCTCCCCAGAATCTGTAGAATCTGTCTGCAATATATCTTTGAGGTCTCCTCAACCTGCATCAATGACGTGGTTTCAAGTTCCAACATCAGGATCTCATTGAGTGCCCCTCCGTGCCCGTTCCCAGAGGAACAAAAATACCGGCGCACATCCGAGCTCTCTTCGCTGCGGGGTCCATGTCGCTCATCATCCCCATCATTCCCATCATGGAGCCGCCCATGCCGCCCATGGTGGGCGCCATGATGCCTAGGTCTTGCTGGGTGAAGGATTGAAGGATTGACACAAAGTTTGGCTTTGGGGAGGCTTGGGGGGTTCAACATGAGGATGTAGTTGCATCATCAGGGTTGTGTTCTTTGTTGTTTGTTTCCAGATTGGCTTTAGAGTAAACATGTGTTTGTCTAGAACAGTCAACAAGGCAAACATCGCTGCTGGGTATTTGTACAGCTCACAAAGCACACGGAGAACATGGCCTCACAACCTGTACACTGTACAAAGCACAGTCAATGCTTTTCCATGTCACCATGGCACAACACATGAACATATATATATATATATTAATATCATATATATATATAGCAACACATGGTGATTTGCTGGAAGGGGTCCTCGGTCTTATCCGGACTGGTTGACATTTTGTGACTATTGTTGCTCGTAAAACAGGACATATAGAAACCAAAAACAAGAAAGTGGATCTTGGCCACCCTAGCAGGCTTCTAATCACCATGACAACCATGTAGGCAGAATGGAGAATGAAGGCTGCTTGTGATCCCTTTAAGTACCACCTGTAAGGGCCACAGCCCTAAAACTGCCTTCTACCGGCAGCGATGGGGCGACCCAGGATCCACTAGGCACCCTGGCCCATTTCGCCCAGCACCGCGCTGGCGGCCTCGCGTACTTCGCGCGGGCGATTCGCCATTCATTTCCAACATATCCCCGTTTGTTCACCGCGAAGTCACCAAGTCACCACGTCCACAACTATTCTTATAACTTTTGAAGTCAACCCTAAACCTTCGTACCTCCGAAACTTGAGACTCACCTTTTAAGGTCCAACCGGATCCACTCAGTCGCTTGTCATGTGCTCGCTTGTTTTTGGAACGTCGCGCCTGCAGGTCTTTGCCCTGAAGCTTCCCTTGCCGAAGCACCGCCATGAATGCCACCTCCGCACGTGTCCGGCCCAACGGTTCGGTCCGTCGCTCCAGGTGGTTCCGCCCTGTTCTGCGGGGGTCCGGGGGTACTCGGCTTGGCACCAGGCGGCATGGTGTGGTACTCGGTGTTGCCGCCCAACCATGTGCGGTCGGTCGGCTCCGATGGCTCAATGCTGTGAGGGAGTGGGGAGACATGTTCTTCTTGAAGGCTTTCGTGGCTCATGCGAGGAACATATTTCAATTCTTTCCCAAACTAGGATGGCAATGTTTTCGGGGACAAAAGTGACTAAAAAAGGAAAGGCCAAATGATACAGTAGTTGCTTTGGGAACAGTTGGCTCGCTTTCTCAATGGATACCCACTCTGAGTTTTTGACCAGAACTCGGTCCCATTTCCGTCCCAATGAAGTTGGGCATCTGCTGAGCCCAAGCGTCTGTTCCTTAGTCAGACCCTCTGGTCACTCCCCAACTTCTCCTAAACAACTCGATCAGCGCACCCGGCACCTCATCGCCAGCTTCAAAGGTCCCTTTGTTCTTCGAGTGGAGAAACACATCTCCTTGATATCCCTGCCGGAAACAAAGGCTGGCAATGAACTCCACACATTGGTTGGTTTAAGTGTTGTAGGATGTTGTAGGTGCCCCAGTGGGCTGCGTCCCACCGTTAGCACTGGCACATAATGCAGTGCTCAAATCGAAAGACATCATAGTATACGCCAAATGCCATGGACGTCATGTTGGCATCTTCTCTTAATCACTTGTATCTCTCTACGCGCCTTTGGACCCTCCTATTGAATTGTATCTACTGTATTTCTCGAGTCAGAGCAGTCCCCCTAGTATACTATATAGTGGACCTGTCTTTTTCTTCGCCAAAGAGAGTTGTAGATCTGCACCCACTGCAACTCAGCTGCCCCTTGTGAAGCTGCCGCGCACGGTCGTCTTCGTTCTGTTCGCGGTGGCGCTGGCGGAAACTGGGCACCTGAAGATTTAAGGCCTCGCAAACGATGAAGCCGAAACCTTTCTCGTGGTTGTAGTTTTTGATCTTTCCCACCTAGGCGGCAGGTCCATTCTTTTCTCGGATGGGGATGGTGGAGGACGCTGAAGAAACAAGGAGTGAAACCAAAGTTCACTCATCTTTGTGTCTTTAAACGATGTCATCTCTTTTTAATTCCCAGCGATGATAAGCTGTAATTGCCTGCAATCCTTTCAATCTGGAACTGATCAAAGACCGTCTAAAGAATTCTTAAAGGTATCTCCAAAAAGGTTTGGCACCCAACATTCTCATGATGCCTCACGTATCCAAGATCCTTCTTCCATGTTCTTCCTATCAGTGAGATTTTCTTCCTTTCACCGGGAAACAGCAAGGTTCGGTGGCATCTTGAAGTCAGTCCAATAACAAAACTCAGGGAGACGTGTCAATGTCGCTCCTATGTCAACGTGTCAATGTGTTCGCTTGAATTGAAAACAATATGGGGACACATGGGGAATGTTGGAATCAAGATATAACATCTGATATTATGATTATTCCCTTGATGTTACCACGCTTACTTGGCAAAAGGAACTGCCATGCAATGGACACACCATCAGGACCGGTCCATGTTGCCTTCGACAAACCCTCGTCTTTACAAGTGGTGAACGTCATCGGGAATCGGCGGTGCTGCATCATCTTCCTCGGGCGTCCGCGCGAAGACTCCGAGCTCCTGCTCGGTGTCTAAGCCAGGTGCTGCACCTGGCCCACGCGGCGAAAGAATGGCCAAAACATGCCCAAAACCCATGGTCGACATTGGCAAAGCCACCGACCAACCCCCGGGAATGTCCCTGTTCTTCTCGTTGTAGTCAATCTGGCCCCCAACCAGCCCCGATCATATGCACTAGACTGGAACTCGCATCAACGGTCAGCGCCTCTTGTATACCATATTTGCCTACATTGGGCTGGGAGATGTTCGTGCAAAACGGTACCGTTGCTTTGCGGGCGTCCAACACGCCGCCGGAAGCCGGCAGGTCGTCGGTTCCCCGGTCGGAAGCCACGAAACACGATGAAACCACGGCCGTCGACGGGCCATGACTCGATGACGCAAGCGGAAGGTCCAAGCGTAGCAGCGTAGCTGAAGTAGTTCGGCCCCCTTCGTCCAAGTTGGCTTCGGGCCCGGCAAGGCCCATTCTGACATTGATTTTTGCTTTCTTAATGAGAACAACCGAGGAGATGATCAAGTCAAAGCTACCATCAAATTTATTTGCTGCGTTCTCGGTATCAATTCACATTGAGCCACTCGAAAGAAGTCCTGCTAAGAATCCTACCAGTAGGTCTTGGCATTGGATAGTGCGCATTGAGTGGATGGGGGAAGCAAAGACTTTAGTTAGGACCCAATTTCATCAGCTGCTGGTTGCCACCATGCATCGGGCTCACCGAAGAAACCTCGAGCGAACAAAGCCGAACAAACACCTCCAGCTCGTTGTTTCGAACCTGCTGGTCAAACATGCCAATTAAGCAACACAACGTCCAGGTCACCTGCAACTCCACCGATCTTTGAAGGAACCGAATCAAAGACCAGTAAGTTCTGAACAAAAAAGACAGGTATTTGAGTCGTCCATGTGGAGGAAACGCCGCTGGCAGCCGCTGGCTATCCCCTAACAAACGACTTCACGAATGGACGCGTGCCAACCCGGATGCACCAAAAAAGGCCCGCACACCTGTCTGAGGTCCCACCATGCCAGTGGCGTCCTGCAAATGGCGGAGACATCAGAATGGCAATGATTTAGGATGTCTTTGGATACCTTTTTGAAGAATCTTGGAGGCAATTATATACAGTATACTGGTCCCTAGTGACAAAGGAGTTAACGGACATGTGCCAAAATCGACAGTTCCTTATTCATCAGGAAATGATTGGGATTAGGTATGCACTCAAAAAGAAACATGGAGGCGAACGTTTCCACTTGGAGTTCGTACTTTAGGGGCTGATCCACTTTCAATGTTTGTACATGTTTGTACCAGAAACACAAGGAGCGTTCACTGTAGGTCTTCCCTTGACCCGGAAAATGTGATATGTTTTTCCCAAACTTGTTGCAATTGGCATCTTATTGTTTTCCGACACAAACACCGTGTCTTTCAAACGGCACAGAATTCGGAGCCATTACCAAATGAGAGGCCCCTAAATGCATGAAGGACACTGATTACACACTTGACAATATCCTGTGGATAGGCCAGGCAGCCATGGTGTTGCTCAACAGCAATCCTGGAGTAGACTTTCTCGAGATGTGGGCATGTGGTCCAACCCATCCGTCATCAGATTCATCACCAACATCGGTTGCTGTTCTCCAACGTGGCGTCCTGGCCTGCAGCTCCCGCCCCTGAAGGCGTCCATTGTGGAGATACGCCTGGAACTTCACCTCCTGCCCCACCTGCAGACGTCGGCCGATGGGGCTGAACCACGAGGTGCGCTTGGCGTCGTACTTGCCGTCGTACTTGGGCGTAATAGGGCTTATAACCGCCATCATATCAGCTTTATGATTTGACTCTACCAGGGCGCTCTACCAGTTTCAAGGTCCCACGGTCCTAGTTCTTGGGACTGAAAAACACACTTTTGTGCCGCACGTCCTTTGCGCAGTTCGGCACCATCTCAATAACAAATATTTACACAGTGTTGGTTCGTGAGTCTTCCTGCAAATCAACATGGACCCCAAAAACCACTGGGTTGTATACGTCATCGTGGGCGTTCAACAGCCAGTGAAAGGCTCCTTTCTATACAGCTTGGTAAACCAACAAATGGAAACCAGCGGCCCCCTCGTTGGCCTTGAAATCGCCGATGTGCCGGCTGTGCAAATAGACCTCATGGTGGGCACGGACTGAAGGCAACGAGCAAAAAGCAGCAAGCAACATCAAGGGCTTTCTTGACAGGCAATCCCGTATCTGTGGTGAAGAATTGTTGACGAAAATGACCAGCACAAACTTCTAAAACTAATTACAAGTACTTATAAGCAGCATTAAACAACCTAAACATTCAAAATTTGTTCATGTCCAGTTTGCACTTGCCTAGGTTATTGATACCAAACGTTTCAACCGGACGTGGCTCGTGTCATCAAACTTCTAAATGGATTGGTTGACACGCGGGTCACGTGGGGGCCATCTTAGGATTAGTAAGGATAGTAAAGGGCCCAAACGTCCTTGTACTCCTACTTGAGTCCATTTCAAGGAATCGCACCCAAAGAACCAGCCTCTAGCGTGCCCCTCTGAAAAGTGGTATGTTTCAATGGAACATTCCTCCGTTGACAGTGGATGGATTCGACCAAGTCCCGCAAGAAACACAGCCTTCGGTTGGTTTCTGCTTCATGTTTGAGTTGAAAAACCTGCCATTTGAGCGACCCTGAGCGACCATATTTGCTCCCATACCCACACCCATGGCTCCCACATCGCCGTCGTGCTGATGTTTCAAGGCGTCGCAAACGATGAACCTCAGGTTCCCGTCAGCTGAGTTGGCCAACCACCCGACAACGAGCATTGAGATGTCACACTCGCATTGTCCGTGCAAAGACGAACAAAGGCAGCGCTCCGACTTTCGGATGGAGCGGTGTGGGAGGGTCTGATTTCGAGCACGTCCTGAACCCCCCACTTAGAGACCAAACGGCTCAAAAAGAAGTATCTGCTACGCCACCCAGAGCCGTCCAAGTCATAAGTTGTCAACTTGCAAATGTGACATTCCATCCCCCCGGGACATCCCCGGGGCCCCCCATTCTCTTACATGGCATGAACACATCCATGGATTACACACCGAGATAGATCAAATCGGCAACTGGAATTGACAGGAAGAGGGCATGATGGTAGCAGATCTCCGACCCTTTTCCGGAGCGGAGTGGGCCTCTGGGGCCCAGTGGATTGGACGTTTCCCATTCGGGAGGTGTCACGTATCCTCGACGACACCGACCTACCAGCCGACCTACATGGAGGTGTCTCCAAATATGGAGACTGCTAGAAACCATGGGCAACGGCAAAGGGAACAAACAATTTGACCCAAACCCTCTTTGAGTTGAGTGGGGGACACGAACCAAAAACATCGACAAACCGAAAGGATCGTAGCTTTTTCTTTGGGAGTCATATGGCCCTATAATATACATCGATCCATATTAAATCCATATATAATAAACCATTTACTCTTGTCACCCTTTTTGATTGGCGCCACTCGTTTTGACTCCCGAGGCTTCGACCCAAATCCCTTTTCCGGATTATAGCTCCTGAGCTGAGCTGGGCAAGAACCAGGATCAGGGCCGCCCCTTTGGAAGATCATGGACCAAAAACCACCTACCAGGTATGATTCTAGGTTCCGACTGGGAATGCCCTGTGTATATGGACCTGATGAGGTAAGATGACCAGTTTTGGTGGTGAACAAGGCACACTCACTCTGCACCTTAAGAGTTCAGGAAAGATCTGAAGATCATGGCATGCTTGGGCATGCTGTCGATGGGCATTCTGTGGCATCCATGAAGGTCAGGTGACTGTTGGCAATGCACTCCAGTCAATACAGCTTAACACAGCATAAGGGTAGCTGTTCTGAAGCCTATCACAGCGAAGGGCATCGAGCTTTGCGGCTGTCCAAACCCTTCACCACTCTGTTTTTGTTTTTGCTGGATGTGAAGATACTTATCAATACTGATATGTCTTTTAGATCCTTTCAGCATCACAGCAATTTATTGTATAATTGTTCAATCAAAGCGCCTCTTCACAGAACAGCAATATTCTCAATTGTCTTGACCCCATTGGCCGGAAAGAAGGGGAGTCGTCACTCAAATCTCCCATGTCACGCTGCATTTGCCACCTGGGCAGCATCGACTTGTTTTTTGAGCAACTCAAGCGACAAAAACTTAACTGCGACCAAGGCACTTCACAATGCCATAGAACTCGCCAAGGACTTCTTGATCTGCAGCCGATATCAGTTTCCACGGAGACGGTGGGGCTCTCTTTCGAGAAATCTGAAAACTAATCGGACACCCCCCGCCCTTAAGAAGGACTCCTTTCCTGAAAAGAAGACGAGTAAAGGGGACTGGAGATATTCTAAAGCCAAAGAGCATCGACTCAGCAACTCAGAAAACAATTAACATAACATAACATAATCTTGGAGGATTGGACGAGGTTCTCATGCAATCGTCATGTTTTGCTTTTTACTTACTGTAGGATCTTAGATCATTCAATGAGATCTGGTGGACTTGCCAAGCTAGCAAATCAAAGGGTTTTGGATCAATCCAAGTCCTGCTTGTCTTGCTTTTAGTTCTACATTCTACATCTCATACGTCCTGTGCCAGGTTTCGCAGCCTTTCCAAAGCCATCAGATTCTGCTAAGTCACAATCAGTTCATGCATGGGTTCACGAACCTCCATGGGTCCGTCTGTCATGATTCATCATGACGTGTCATTGGTTCAAAGAGATCCGCGAGCCAATCGAATCAATACATCCAAACTGCCTCTAAAACGGCGTTTAAATCAACAAAAGCAGTCTTGATCGGGTTCGTTCAAGGGTTTTATGATGCTTTGTGTTATATACCCATCCAAGAGATCAAGAGATTGGCTTGAAACACGTACGTCCACTTCGCCGACCTACGTCCCTGAGGCCGACTGGTTAGTGCCAGTGCCACTTGTGCCAGTTACCATTAATCCTCCTTGGAAGATCTTGGAAGGTGAATCTGCGCCCATATCATTTAGCATCCAAGAGGGAAAACACATGGAAGTGAACACTGATGAATGAATATGTTTCTTGATTTTGCTGTAAACATCTCTAATGTCCGCTTGTCCTAGAGATGTCTGACGTCTTGTCATCTGTCCAATCTTCAACCCATGCCCTGTTGGTTTGTAGGGCATCTCTCACCGTGGGGCTTGCCGCACCAGTCCGCCCAGAAACACAGCATGGTTTTTGATTGCCACCTTTCAAGAGAGAGAGAGAGAGAGAATGTAGTTGAAACATAGAATTTGTTAACGTCTAACGTATATCCGTATATCAGCCCCTGGAAATCCGCCCAGGCACTGATGGGAGCTGCATGCTTCCCTTGAAGACCCATGCCTCGTTCCGTCAGGACCCGCACGATCACGTCCCGAAAAAACGTCAGGACCAACCGAGATTGGATGAAATTCCGCTGCTGTGCGGGAAGAAAACGACAGCTGGGAACATCCACCACTCGGAGGTGTTTTGTTTATTAGTCGTTATATATAATTGTTTATTTGGTGTCATTGTTGTTTTCAAAGGAAGCGGCCGGAGGAGGAAGAGGCCTTGCCCGATTCTGGCCGTGTTTTTGGTTTGGAGCACTCTAAAGCGGAAGACCCAAATGGCAAAGAACCATAAAGCACCTTTTGTGGCGGCGATCCTTTGCGAGCCACTGCGGACTTGCTTGAATTAAGTGTCCTGGAGCGAATAAGCAGGATATCCAAGGTCGGTCACCTTGATGAACCGGGCATAGAAGATCCAGTGAAATTTGGTCATTTTGCTGTAGGTGCTGTGCAGCTACCAAACGCAGCCAGAAAATTGACACTGAAACGAATGGTTGTTGGGTTGTATTTCCCCAAATCAGTGTCCTTACAGTAGCGTGAGCAGAACGACACACTCAGCACTTGCCATGCAAAGCATAGAGACAACGACACCCAAACGACTCAAAGAACAACAATTGCACATATGACGTATACCATACCGTATACCATCTAGCAAACCCCGTTTCGGGGGTTATAGAGTGTGCATTCACCGCCTCAAACCGGGCCCTGGTAGTTGAAACAAATCCAGCACAACTCTCGCTGCTCAAACCCTATTTGTCCGCACAAGTGTTGCCCGCGTCTGGCTGTACTTCAGACCACCCCGCAGGGCTAGGACGCGTTGAGCAAGAAGCGAGGCTGCTGCAAAAGTCCCGAAATGGACAAATGATGACAAATGAACAAACACATGTAAACAACTATAGAACTGTTTATGGACAAATGACTAAGCCTGCTAAGATCTGCTAAGCATTCTAGAAAGGCACTGCACCGCAACAAAAATACAAACTGGGGACAAATGCACTTGACTTGCAAAAGGACCCACCTGGAAGCACCCAACGTACACACAAAAAAATATATATATTATATACATATATGCAAACGCAATGGTGAACATCAGTTTGGAAGCGTTGCAACAAACACTACAAGATCTCCTTTTTGGACCGTTTCCGAAATAAATAGCATTGCATTTGTCCGACTGTCCGTCTTCACAGTGGAGAGGACCTTGGTCTAGAATGGTCCAGGGGGGCCGTTCTCTTGGCTTTATTACACATATCCCAAAGGCCACTTTGGGCATGGGACAAGGACATGTTGGACCGCCCTCAGTGACTTCTAAATCTCTTTTGATGGGAAGATTGAGTAATTACCAACATGTACCAAAATCCTCTCTCCCACACCTCCAAACAATTTTGCATATGTTAGACATATATATATATACCTATATATATGGGAAGATTGGCGACGTCTGATTTCTCCAATTTCTCCGGCTCAGCTCTACCTCTCAGCTCAACCGCTGGCCCGACCAACCCATGCTGGCCGTGCGAAGCTAAGCTCCAGTCATGAGACCAAGCATCTCATGAGTTTCTCCGAATCGGAGATGCACACACTGTGCGCCGCGCAGCGCACAGGATTTGCTTTACAAGGAACAAGACTCCTGGCGATCAATAATAGAAACTTAAGTTCATTTGATCTCAGGAATGTTGTAGGAATTTCTTTCACGTTCAATTGCCTCATGAGTTTCTGAACTTGATCTTGCTTGGACCCGCGGTATCAGAGCGTGAATGTGGTCGGTCCAAATCTTTCAGGAGACAAAACATGTCTCCGACCGTGGTGAATAGGAGTTAAGCAGCCTGTGCTAACAGCTTGTCAAGTGCCCCCAACCTCGATTGGGAGAAGGGTTCAAACACCAACTACTAAGCTCTTCACCCTGTCGCGGCGCGGCGGGGGTCGTTAGTCCAAGAACCACTGAACCTGACCCGAGCGAACGAGCGACGGACCAAGGGTCGGAGTTGATCCGCGTGGCCCCGCAGCGAGCTTTTCCCATGAATTCTGCAGAGCTATCCCTCAAAAAGACACACACACACACGATCAGCAGTGTCTTTGTTAGGCAGTGACTGCTGAAGGGATCACTGCCCCCCTGCTGCTGAATTCATGCAAAAAACGCAAAGCCGCAAAGCCCTTGGAGAAAGGGTGTAACACACACACACATGGAGCCCCAAAACCACTGGGTAGAGGGTTTCTTGGTCGAAACCATGGGTGAATTCTCAGGGTCCATGGGATCATCTGCAGGGGTTGGGTCCTCGTAAGATCATGTTCGCCGCCAAGGAGTGCCGCAGTGAAAACTGGTGTGACGATACAGGAACACCAGTTCGAGGGTCATCCACCAAACAATGGCTCCATGATAAATGTGTGTATATATATATATGATATATATATATAATACTATGTTTTTCTGTTTTTTGGGCGACCCAAACAATGCCTGCAAGAAATACTTCAATCAAGAGAGACCTGATTAAAGGGCCTAAAGAGAGAACTCGCTTTCCCATATTCAGTCTTTTCTTTCGAGAAGGGGGTCTACAGCGGCACAGGAGAATTCTTCATTGTGTCTGATTAGCCAGGGGACAAGCGCGCCAATAGCAGCCACTAGAAGCACCGTTGGCGCCCCAGTAAACGGATTCTGGCCTTGGGCATACAGCTGTTGACGACCCTGCGCAGATTACATAATCTGCAAAAACTTTGGCGGGATCTTGCCAATAGTCAGTAAGTGTGTCAAAGCAGTGGATAGAGTGCGGGAACTAAGGCCATATCAAAACTAGTGACCAGCTGTCTATGGGTTCTTGATCTGGTGTTTCACAAATCCACGATATACGGGATGGTCCCATCACTTACGGGTCCCTTTATTAGGTACGGTACTCTGGCTCTCTTTCGAAATCGACCGACCGGGATTCCTTTTTTGGGATCCACACACTCCCTGAGCTCCAGCCCTTTGACTGTCGCCAGTCCGCCTCTCACCCAAGACAGGCAGGACAAAAAACGGTCGCACAAACGAAAGCGGACCCCCCAACCACCCCTTAAACGCCTTAAAGGGAGGACATGAACCAACATCCATTGGTGGGAGGGTATTCCATCGTATTCCAATGAAATTCTAACAAACACAGAGCTGGATTGGTCTAATATGGTCTAGTTTGGTCACCTCCAGAACCCCTTGTGACAACACTGGAATTCTTCAAAGACTCATCCTCCAGCCCCTCCATTCCTCAGAGCGGCTCTTCGCGCATCGAGCAATCGAGGCTGCAGCGCCCACCGCCAGCAGCGCCCCTAAGAGCCCGGTGGCCAACCTCGATCGCAGGATCCTCAAGAAAGCGACCTTCTGAAAACTGAAGTGAGTATGAGTGAGTGTCTCAAAAAGAACCACGCCCTTCTCTATGTGGTCTTGGTTCTTCCTGGGATCCCTGTGGAAAAAAAGACTTTGAATCATGCTATTTGATTCGTCGACCTAGAAAGCAACAAACAGTATGACGCCCATTAGAATTCCTGGAAGAGCATTCCCCCTGGGAAATCTAAACAAAAACAAGCTACTCCTTGCATCCCCCCCTTGTGCTAGGTAGGCCAAGCTTCACAAACAGCAGCTTGCTCCAGCCACGGCTGTGCCAGGCCACTGCTACAGCCACTGGAATGCCTGGAACAAGGGTGCCACTTGGCCCTTGAACAAAATTCAACAAGCCGTTGCGGTTGGTGAAACATGGGCCGTCATCGAACCTACTGATCGACCAGTACTGGGTAGATCAGTCAACTCAAAACTGCGACATGGGCGCCGAATGGATCGGAATGGAGCGGATTTGGACCGCGACATGTCCGCCCCCAGAGCGGAGTGTTCGTTACACATGCGTCTGCCACGTGGCAGCTTACGCAGCTTCGCTGGCTGGTGGCGCTGGTCGGGGCGCTTGCAACATGTCTTGAAATATATTGAAAGAACAAGCTGGTAGAATCATGTAGAATCTATGTAAACTGCATCCCCAAAGGACCAAACATCTTCTTGGGATTTCTTGGGCCTTCACCACCTGTCGAACTTTCGCCTTCCGACCGCCACAGCTCGTCACATGGCCTAATGTCAGGACCGCGAAGCCATCCCAACCAGTGTAGTCAGGAGCCAACGCACCGACCTGGAGGTATTTCTGGGACCTCCTCATCCTGGAAAGATCTGGAAAGCATAGGGTATGCAGGCATGTACAATCTTTGAACAATTTGGACTAGACAACAGGTCAAGGTTCACCTTTTCAATTCTTTTCATCATTTTTCCAAAGTTCTTGGGGGGTCCACCAATGCAAGCTCACAAGGCATTGGCTATGGAAGCAGCAGGGTGGGCATGGGCTCTGGATGTCCCTCATAATTCAACCAATGGCCCACCTGGCTGGCTTTGAATCGGGAGACACTGGCCGTATGGGGCAGCGAGGAGAACGGATGAAAAGCCGTTCTCCTCATTTCCACCCATCAACCAGCCGATCCAAGAAGCGGTGGTTTTGTGGCTGAATTCCAATGAGACACGTCATGATGCAGTTTTCCTGGTGAGGAAGTATGCACTTAAGGCATGGTTCGGCCAACATTGACCCATCTCAAACGGAACATTCGGACTCGAGATCAGCCTGCCCTGAGAGCCTGAGATCTGCCTCTCCCACACGAAGCAATGGGAATTCCCCACGAACCACCGTTCTCTACGTGTTCAGGAACGATCAGTAGGATCACTCCTAAACATGGACTTCTCGAAAAACAATCCCCCTCTAAAAGCTAATGACTTGAGGTCGAGATGATGGGTCAAGGCCTGGGAGGCCAGCAAATCCATGAAGACCGCCACACACAGGAAGCCGACGATGGCACCGAGGGTGATGTCCAGGACATGCCTTGATTCAAGACCCCTCTGCGGCTTTGCTTAAGGCATAAACATGAATGAATCATAATGAATAATATATATATATATACACTGTAGCTGTCTTTGAAATCTGATCATATATACATATATATATATATATACACTGTAGCTACTGT